TATATATATATATATATAAAATTAATTTTATATATATGTATATATAAAAAAATTCACTTCATAAATATTAAAACAGTTTTTAGCCATATGTTTTACAAAACGTATGCATATATATATATATATATATTTTAGCCATATGTTTTAATATTTATGAAGCATATCGGAACGGCGTGAGAAGGGTTTAACGAGATTCGAAAAACGATTATAAGATTATCAGGCTACTAGAATTTTTGAAAATATATGTATCGATTAGTAGACCAAGCAGATAATAAATTCTGTCTTCAAATATTTATTCTTCATCATTCAAATATGACAGCAGATAACTAATCTCTTTCGTTCTAATTTAATTTAATTTAATTTTACAATTGAAATCCACGTTTGCAGATGAGTTACGAAATTTTCTTAAAAAATAAAAAAAAAGAAAAAAACGAAGGATGAACAAACCAATTTAGGATCAATTCTTTTTTCTGTTCCAGCAAATTCAGTGTGTGACAATTTCATTAATGGCGAAGAAGCGTTTCCTCCGCGTTCGAAAAATGCCAAGGCTCGTTGAACGATTTCGCAAAAAATGTTCGATCACTTCGTCTGTCGATGGAAAATTATACGTAAACGAAGACGCTTGCTGACGTTCGTTCACGTCATCGTTTTCATTTTCAGCGGATCACTCGATGTTCTTTTCCATCGTATTTTTACAGTGATAAATACAATATAGAAAAAGGAACGAGTTACGTAAAAGAACGTAAGAGACGATTAGACAAACGATAAAATCATGTGTCATCGCAATCGTTCATATCAGAGACCAATGAATCATTGAAAAAGAAGGCGAGTTTTTACGTAAGAAACCAATTATGTTTCACCGCGGAGAAAACCAAAAGGAAAGAAGAGGGAAAAATTTTCGAAATTTTCAAGCTTCTAAAATTCAAATTACAACTTCGATCGTAAGAGAACTATTTTTTTTTTCTTCGCGGTGGAAAAATTTATGCTACAGTTGCTCCTTCGTTAAACGCACTCGCATAATGGCACTCGAGTCGAAGCACGTCCCACCGGTTTGCGGGGAAAGAGTGTTTTCGTTCAGCTCTCCTTTGATCTCGTCGAAAAGGACGTTAATAAAGGCCTGTCCCTCGCGCCGTCGTTTTAACGAAAATGCAACATTTTCTATTTTCTCTTTCCTCTTTCTTTTTTTCCTCACTTAATCGTGTACCACGCGAATAGAAGTTGCTTATCGAAATACCAAATGACGCTATCTGATCGACACTTGACGAGAGGTTATGTAATGTACTTGATCGCTTGATCGATAAATGCAAAAGAAGCGAAATGGATACGATCGATAAGATAGATTTCGATGAACGCAATGTAACGGCATCGATGCTCAAGGGTTTAAAACATTACTGGAAACTTCATGGAATATGTGATTACGTTTGAGGTTATGGAAACATTTCACAATTTCTACGGATAAATGGTAGACGATCTGGGAACGATAGATCGTGTCTGATTGAACGATTGAGAAGAATTGGATGGAATGAAGATCCGAGATGAAAGGAATTCCGATTCGAACGGACATCTTACGGTTTCTTGAGCACGAGATGTAAACACCATCTGACTGATGAAGAGATGATCAGGCAAAACAATTCTCTGTTTCAAGCTACATAATACACACATATTTTAGCTATTTTATAAAAGCGTGTGTATAAAACTCGAGGTAGAAACCAGTAGTACACATGTAGTTTCCATTCTTATTGATCGGGGCGTTTTAATCTTATCTGCAGAGTTATCTAACTAATAAGCAAAAAACACGGAACTAAAAAGTTGCTATTTTTTCTTCGCGTGAAGTTCGCGAGAATGTTCTTTTTTTTTTTTTAATTATCTAACGAGTAAACAACAGGATATTCCTCGTAAACGCGGCTGAAGTTTATTTTTACCTCTTTTTCCTCCGAATAGATTTTATCAGAATTCTATCGTAGGAGATTCTCATTTCGAAAACGACCGTCGGTAATGCACGCTTTTCATTGTATACGTGACGCGTCATAAACGCAAATCGTAGTACTTGAATTAAAGTTGACCTCTTAGCTGCGAATGACGAGTATACTCATCGTGCGAGTAAAGTAATTGCAGTTTGTTACTTAAATTAAATTTTCTCATGGGAAATAAAACACATTTGCAAATTTCAGACATTTCAGAATATTTTGAGACTAGTTTTTTTTTTACATCGTTTCTAAATATTTTCTTGCTGTTAATGTTAATCAGTATTATATATAGTTAATCATGTTAAACAATGTAATTATTGATTCTTTAAGAAAAATAGCTATTTCTAATTTTTCAGCTGTGAAATTGACCAGTATAATCGTTCTAGACACTTTTAAGCACCACAGTTAAGAGGTTAAATTGCTGCATAGAGACGGATCCTGAAAATTGTTTTTCGGCGCCATATTGAAAAAAACTCGCAGAGTAAAAACTCTTGATAACAATTCGACCCAATCGCGAAGTGAAGTGTTTTTTTTTTATCCATAAAATTACTCTAACTTCAGAAAAGCGACCCGTCATCTTTAACAAAAACGTACAACGTGGATTCGACTCGGTTGATAGTAAAGAGAACTTCCATTTTAAGTTAAAATAATTTTCCAAAGGACGCGATATTGTTACTCGCTGAGACAATCTCTCTCGTTCGTTTTTGACAGAACGTTGGGTGTTTCGAACGATTTTCAAATGCAACATTATTTTTAAATCACTTTTTAGAAATTATTATTATTTCCATAGATGATTTTTCTATCACTCTCGTAGACGATTGAACAATCTCGTCGCATGTGATATCGGTAATTTGATACGGCGAGTATCATGGAACAGTCGACTGACTTTCGATGAATCACGATAAAATGCATGGACAGCCAATGTTTCGCGAAAAAGAGGGTGCAAGGGGCAATATGCGAAAGGGGCAGGGGATCCAACTGGCACAATTGATCCTCCGAGTCGACGCGTTCCTCGCACGGAAACAAATAGTCCCCGATTTAATTCCCCGAGTTATCGATTCGAACGGAGCCGATGGCGATCTCCACTTTCCTCGTGTTGATGAAGTCCGACTGTTGAAACGAAGAAGTATCGCGTTACGAGAAGGTTGGAAAACAGTTACGAGTTCAACAACACTAGGAACTACCAGCGACCGAAATAGTAAAATTTACAGTGGAGAGAAACTGAGAACGCAAGGAACAGGAAAGAAGAATTTGTAATACGATAAAAAGCACGAGCTTTTGTTGATGCATTTTATTAAAAAGTCACTCAGGTCTCTAAAAATACACAGATGTTTATAAATTTATAAAATTTCTACGGCGAAATTATAAACTGGTCATTTTTACCACTTTGGGTAAGTCTAGTGTTAAAAAAAAAAATTTCAGTTTGTATTTCGTTTTATTGACCGTAACTAAACGAAATTTATTCATGAAATTATTTTTTTTTTTGTCTCAGATGTAAAAAATTACATTCCTGCTCTCGTTATTAAAATATTAACCGTAATAAAGGAAAAAAGAAAAAAAGAGAAGAAAGCACAGTAAAGATATATACCGCTCGTGATTAGACGAGGGTTAAACAGTTATTGGTTGTGTAGTGGAACAGCACAATATAAATATCACAATTAATTGACCACTTCACTTGATGAAAGTGTCAGGGTTCAAAAGCTTTAGATTCACTTTTGTCGTTAAGCGTCACCGCCTCGGTTGTGACAAAAAACTTGCTGACTCTGCAATTCCCCATTGAACCTGGATAACATTTCTCTACGATACGGATATACATTGTCAAACCAATCTTGTGTATTCCTCTTAAATATTTACTCCCCTGAAAATTAACGATAGCCGACAGCAACCGAGATACGTATGTCTTTGTCGAACGTGTTTCGGAACACTTTCACGGCGGGCGTCTTTCTATGTGAGTAGTTCAGGTGTCACTTTGGTATCTCCGTTGATTATCAGCGGCGTTCTATTTCGGTCGTATGGTCGTATACTTGTTCAAAAACATGCATCAAATTTCTTGTCTTCGTCAAGTTTCTACAAATTGAAACGCGAGATGTAAACACGCCTTCGGACGAACGTGCAACATAAGCGTGCCCGGAGATAAACCTAACCTAAAACCAACATTAAAGTAAATGTCCCGAACTTTTCTATAAATATCCGACGATAAACTAAAATTAAAATCGAGGAGGGAAATTCTTTGTTCTTACTGCTGATTATTCGCATTATGCAAAAACAAATTAATACTGTCGTTCTTGGCAACTTTTTTAGTATTACCAGAGATGTAACAGATTATACATTAACGCTGCTATTCTGTGTGATAAAAAAAAGTTATCTTTCACGGTGGATTTCTTATTTTCCCGACAAGTAAATAGTTTTGTTATGATATACGTAAGTGTAATTTACTTTGTACATAGTTTTTTCTACGTGCTTGTCACGCTTTTTTTTATAATTAAAATTCATAAATTTTTTCTTCGTCGTTTTTTACAGAGAGAAAAATGTCTGAAGTTAAAGAGGAGAAAAGACAATATGAGAGCGGCTTTGAAAATGTTGCTCGAAAAGAAAATTACTATAAGGCGCTCAAGCTTTCCACGTTCTAAGAAAAAAACAAAAAAAAAACATTGATTAGTTTGCTTGTTGATATTTGTAAAGGCATTTAATATTTGTTATTATTAATCACATAGATGTTAAAATCTAGTATTTAAGTAGGCGTTCGGTATTGGATGATAATTTTTGATGGCAAGTTGCGAATACTTCTTTTATTTATGCAAATTATTAATCTTTATGATAAAATTCAAGGGAAACAATTTATACCCTTTTTAGTAAGCGTCATTTTTACTATAAATTTCTTTCCTTTTAAAGTTTGATTTTTATCAAGAAGTTGGCCAAGTTATAATTGAAAAATTCAGTGTTTGGTTCTGTACGACTCTCCTCTGTAGAAAAAAGTTGCTCAAAATGATTTCTACATGTCCAAAAATCATTGAAATAACGATCAAATATTTATATATATTACATATATTATTCCAACTTTTGTCAGTCGAGAATATTTTGCGAATTTTATGAATTTCATTCTATATTTCTAAACTATATTTCGCGTTTATATTAATTTGAATTTTTCGAGAAAATCGACATTTACGTATGTACTATACATGTATTATATACAGATACATATGTTTTCGAAGAATATTTCGTGAATTTTATTTTAATTTCGTTCTGTATTTTTAAACTGTATTTCAGGTTTATATTTGTCATCAAAATGACTACGAAAAGCGAGGATCACCGTTCATCAAAATGTAACGAAAATGAGAAAGTGGAAACGATATTACTGCAAAATGCCCTAGATCAGAACGGTTAAAACGGGATTAATGGGATTTAGAAAGGTCACTGGCCGCCCCGAACGGCTGTGAAAAGTGCACGCGTGAAACGAAAATCCCGCCAGTGAAACCGTCGAGCAACTCCCATTCGTTGGAATAAATTGTAAAAGTATCAAAATTCTGGAAAGTAAAAGTAAATACAAGCTTTTTAGACTTCTACGATTTTACGTTTTCGACCCTTTGCTCGTTTTGTTCCTCAGATAACAAATCGATGACGTTTTATTTTTGTACAATTGACATTTCGTCTAATAAGAGGTTATATTCAAAAAAGGAGATTATATATATATCCACGCAAGTCATCCGAAACTGGATGTCCTTGTTTAATAGACTGTTTCATTGTTCGATCGGTAACGTGACTCGCAGGACGCAGGAAGATCCTAATGACGAATAGCGAACCTTGGCATAATAACTTCGCCGTGTTTTCCAATCAAGTAACTGCTTGGTTTTAGATATAGATCGTGTTGCGCGCGCAACAACAAAACGCGCGAAAACAATAGGAGAGAAGAGAGTGCACACACACAGTTAACACCGGTTCCAACAGACGTATAATTCGTACTAATTGGTTCGCAAGACAGCGAACAAAGGGTCGATAGTATCGTTCAAAATGTTTCAAGGATTACGAATTGTCGCGACACGAGTTGTAAACACGGCGAGCATGGAATGTAGAGAATACAATGAGTAACTTGTGTTTAAAAAGATAACCTATACTAACATCACAAACAATCATTACAATTAGACTCGACAAAATTTGTTTTGACTTTTTCAATTCTGACTACCAATCAACGACGCGTATCACACGAAAATACATATGTACATGAACTTTCGATCTAAATTTTGAATCATTATCATTGCAGGCGGTAAGTTCGAACTGTTAAATTTCGTAGGAAGTTTCCACGGAAGAAATTAATCATCGGGAAAATGCAGTTAATTACACAACTCTAATTAACCTCAAGAAACGACGAAGTGGGGCAAATACTACATGCTTTGGTAGAGAAACGTAATTAAGCGACCTGGAGATGGATCTTTCATCTTCGACATCTTACAAAAGACAAACAGGTGTTGAAATCTGATTGCTTTTTAATACTCGTAATCTTATTACTTCTCTCTGCGATTAGAATCGATACGTTGTCAGTGACGAACGAATGTTAAAGAAAAGAAAGTAAATAGAAAGTAACATACTCGCTTGTCGAAAACGATTAATTAGTTTCACAATTAAGATTATCTTTCCACGAGCACGATTTTTAATATTACATTAATGAGTTATATTGAAAATACGCGCAAAATATGCTCCTATAGGAAAGTAAATAAATAAATAAATTACGAATGTAATACAAATCCTGGAATAGATCGTATTCCCCGTTATTATCCGTCGGGCGAACAAACATATAAACATAAATAACGATCGACGAGCACTTGCGCAACCTTGTTTGACCCTGAACGATTCGTCGAGATTTCGGTGGAGTTAATTTTTCGCGTATTAAAACAAACTGCGCAATTAGGTACGCACGCACCTATGCATGTACAGAAGAACCTGTTGAGTGTATAACACAACGCGCGAGAGTGCCCCCCCCCTCCCTCCTCATTGGTCCAAGTTCGTACCACGGTCAAGAGCGATCGCTATTTTTCAAAAATAGAATTTTGGCACTTGGACTACACTGGATGATTATGTGACCCGTTTTACTTTTAACAATATCTATGTATTTTTGGTTTCTTCAGATCAACTTTCAGCTCGATCAGCAGAGAAAGCGTCATAAACGTCGGAGTTTCCAAACTGTCGTATGACAACATTGACCAGTTCCCACGGCAGAAACTCGAACCCTTTGCGATATTTCTCAGGGTGAGGGGGAAGGGGGGATGTCCCCGACCATTCTCGCTCAAGCGTTGTTTCTCTACCACCGATACGAACGCACTGAGGGGCGCAACGGAAAGAAAGGGGGACGCGAGACCTTAAAAATTCTAGGCAAGCAGCACGATCTTGTCAGATTCACATCACAGTTTTCTTTTCATATAAAATCACAATCTTTTAATTTTTTTTTTTTTATAGAATCACAAGCGTTCAACCAATTGACCATTCGTCAATCCCTTTGTTGAATTCCAAACTCTCGGACTCGGAATTACGTTCGATTGGTTAAACGTTAAAAAATAAAAAAAAAAAAAAATCTTAAAGAGAAAACGAAACATAAATTACTCGACGCCTGACTGGCATTTTTCTACGCGAAAAACTCCTTACTATATACAATAACTATACATATATATTTCTTCCAATTTATCGACTTGGAAACGTCGAAAACGAAACATTACCAACGTTGAATCTCAAATCATTTTCTTTTTTTTTTCTTTTTCTTTACAATCAAAAGTAAGTCGTTTTTTCAATTTTCTGTTGAATAACTTTATACATCGCGGTGAACGCGAAAATTAGGATAAACGATTTATTCGAAGTAACAAATGCAAAAGAACGAATTTTACGAGACTGCCTAACGTTGAACGAAACGTCAAGTCGATTGCGAAACCAGCGCAACCGTGATTTCTCGCAGGGATCGTTTCATTAGTACTCATCAATAATTTCGCACCGAGTATGCTACGATACGCGATGGCTTAAAGGTCGGCCTCGTTCCAGACG